AGGTGCGTGGTCTGTTTTTTTTTTACCAAACGTGGTATTTCATTTCTACTTAAAAGTTTTTCTATTTTATTAAAAAATAATATTAAATTTTTTATTTTGCAAATATAATAATTAACAATTATAAAATATATAGAATATAATAATTGTATTGTTTGCAATATTTTACAAAAAAATGAAATGATTATCAGATAAATCAGAGAAAAAAAATTAAACAACATTGTAGAATAATTTTTTTATAAATATCCAAGGACGTGTTTTTTAATTATAATGTTTGCGTATTTAGAAAATTTATACTAATTTTCCAATAAAATAGAAAAGTTTTTAAATAGAAGAAACTAGACACGTGACAAAAACAAATAAACCTTATATACTTTATATTTTCAATAGAAATAAAATAATATAACTTAATTTACAATTATAGAAAAAAAAATATAGAAAATAAATTAAAAAAAAAAAATTTTTAATATCATAAAATAAAACAACGGAAAGGATAAATAGATTATAAAATCGATGTAATTCAAAATCCGATGAAACGAAAAAAATACGACTAGAATTAGTCTAAGAGCTGGTTAAATAAAAATGCTTTTATCTGGTTCAAGATTCATTTCTATTTAAAAAGGTACCTTTGGTATAGCTGAACATAAATCTGCAAGTCTGCCATCGCAAAACTGGGGCCTAAGGCTGGGGGGGAGGGGGTACGATTGAAAACGTGAAATTTAGGTGTGAAAAAAATCGTAAGGTACACGGATTCTAATTATGGAAAAAGCTTGTATTAATATTTAAGAATCGCGAAACAATATTGGCAGACAGTTTGCTCGCGGTTAAAGTGCCGCCAGAGCGCGCCAAAGGGGTGTAAAAATTAATTTAAAAAAAAATCACAAGGGTTATGAACAAAAACTGTTTTATTTTATTATTTAAACATTAAGAAAACAATTTACTAAATGGCAGACAAAAATTTGGGGGCTAAAGCCTTAGCAGACGGCTTGAAAAAGCGCGCTATAATATCCACATAACATAAAAACTTTCTATAAACTTTCTAAAACATTTCTTAACAAGCTTTAAACTTTTCAAAAAGGTTTCTAAAAAATCTTTCTACAAGGTGAAAATATCCGCGTTAAGAAAATATTTTACTGATAGAGTAATCTTTTGCTAGTCTCTTGACTTTAATCAGAGAAAAAAATTAGACAACACTGTAGAAAACATTAGAAGCAAATGACAAACTACATTCGGAAGCAAGTAAATTACTGTTACATTTTTCTTTTCCTTCTTCATAGAATATATTCGATTTATTAAGATTTAAATAAGTCTATTGAATTTCCAATTTATATGTTTTTATAAAAAATATACGAAGACTTTTATTGACCCAGGAATACAAAGAAATTATATAAATAATTATATTACTTACGTAATAAAGAAATTTATGGTAATTTTTAATCAAATAAAAACATTTTTGACAAGCTGAACGCCCAGCGTGAATTGGTGGAGTTAACTACGGGTCCCAAACTCGAGACTTGTTGTCAACACAGTTCGATANTCATCATTGATTAGTTTTGAATTTTACTATAAAAAAAAAATAAAATCGAAAAAACAGGTTTTTTTAAAAATCTCGAGAACCGTTTGAGTAAAAGAGCTAAAATTTGGGGTGAATTATTTTTATTCAACACCAAATCGATCCCCCAAGTGCGAGTCAAAAAAGCCACGGGGGCAGATTTCCCATACTTATCCGGCTATACCCATTGTTCTGGTATTTTTCAAGCATCTAAAGGTATTAGTTGCAACAACAAAAATATAATTGTGTATGCTGACCCATGATAAAGATAACTCAAATTCACAGAAAGACTATCATCTACCTGAGTTAAAAAAAGGATATATTATATTTGCTTAGGTTAGGACGGCTTATCTTTCCGTCGATAAACATTCTATAATTTCTTTTTCTATCTATGGCTATCGCATTCGGCATTCTATCCTAATTGATACAATTTGAAAGTGATAGTTTTTGTTAACTACCCCTATCCCAAAATCATTCCAGCGCCTTTTGATATATGCAAATGGTAAAAATATTATATTAAATAAATTCTACAATTATCTTACTCTTGCTACTGTGCATTCGCCTTACTCTCTCGAAACTAAGTTTTTTTAAGATTTCACTTCTAACACGTGTGATCTGCACACATGATTTTTTTTTTATCTTAAAGTGTACTTTAGATTTCTAAAAACAATATGCACTTTATCCTGAAGCAAAAAAAGATTTTAAACATGTTAAAATCTTGGTTTCACTGAAGCTCTTAGAAGGGAAGTGAAGTGTGAGAATAAGACACTATAGCGCTGGTTAAATCGTAGCGCAAGGTAACGCCACCGTGAAGTTAAATCATAGGTCAAGTTATAAAAAATATACTTTTAAGTAAATATTATCTTTAAAATTTGAGGAGATTACTTGTGTTAATAGAAAAACGGATTATTTGTCAAATATCTCATATTTTTAGAGAGCGATATGAAAGACGTGATTTCCAGGATTTGTTACTGTTTTAAATATTTTTATACTCTTAGGCGACAGTGAGGAGTGAATAATGAAAATATTTTTTAACTATTTGGTCTACAAGTAAGTTTCCAGCGTTTTTCATAAAATTTGAGGGTTTATTCTGAAAAATTGGTTACAAATTTTTCATTCGAAATACTGTCCATCGGAAGATACAATTTTTCCCCACCTTTCTGGCAATTTGTGAATTCTGGACTAAAAAAAGTTCTTGTCTCTTAAGCCCAAGAACATATTAAGCCAAATTTTGATTCCTCCTACTGAAGTGAAGCGCATTCCGGTAAGAGCGTTCTGCATCGACAGAAACAAGTGGTAGTCGGATAACGCCAAATCTGGAATATAAGGAGGGTGAGGCAGAATTTCCCATCCATTATTATCCAAGTAGTTTTTGACCGAAGCAGCAATATGTGGCCGAGCGTTGTCGTGGTGAAAAATTACGTACTTGTGCCTGGTCTGATATTCTGGCCGTTTTTCCGCCAATGCCCGCTTCAAACGAATTAGTTGCGATCGATACAATAATCCTTTGATGGTTTGACCACTCGAAAGCAGTTCGTAGTATATGACACCCTTCTGATCCCACCATATGCAGAGCACTACCTTATTCATGTGAATATTTCGCTTCAACGTCGATTTGGCCGGCTCGCCAGGCTTTGCATATGTTTTTTTGCATTTAGGATTATTCTCATAGATCCACTTTTCGTTACCAGTGACAATACGCTGCAGAAACGACTTTTTTTTTATGCCGCTGCAGTAACATTTCTGACATGCAAAATCGCCGTTTGACATCTCTCCGCTTCAACTCGTACGGCACCCATCTTCCAACTTATTGGATGAATCCCAAAGCTTTTAGGCGCAGGGAAATGGCTTGTTGTGTGACGCCCAATGATGCACAAGCTCTTCTTGAATTTGACACGGATCCTCATCCAGCAAAGCCTTCAATTCCTCGTCTTCAAAATTTTTCGGCTTTCCGGAGCGCTCCTTGTCTGCAATGTCAAAATCACTATTTTGAACCGTTTGAACCACTCATGACACGTCGATTCACCAATACATTCCGCTTGTAAGTTTCCAGAAGCAAACAATAGGCCTAAGCTACCCTTTTTTTCATAATTAAGAATAGAAGCAGTGCTTCCCGCAAATGAAGCGGGAATTCCCGCTTATTTGACACATAACTTGCCATGTTTTTGCTTCATAAAATATACGACGCTGATAGAAATGCGCAAATATAATGATGCAATGTTGTTAACAGATACACAAGCTTCAAAAATGACACATAAGATAACATTTCTGCCCGGAATCTACTCGTGACACCATCTACTTTAAAACGCTGGAAACTTACTTGTAGACCCAATAGTTCTTTAGTTTTTGTTAAAAAAGGGATAGCCAATAATGCCCAATTTCTTCTATTCCTAATTTAAGGTTTAAGTATACGCGCTGAAAGATATAATAGTGTGGGAGTAGGAGCGTTTGTTGTATGTGCGTGTGCGTGTGCGGCGTGAAGAAGCTACAAGGGTACGTTGCCTGGTAGCGTAAACAGAGGGGCAAGTTCGTGGTATGTTGAGTTGTAGCTATAGGAGAGCTTTCCCTGGCAGCGTAAATAGAGACAAACTTGTTGCCTGGCAAGATGTTGCCACGAGAAAAAGTTGCTTAGCAGCCTAAACAAGGGGATGTTTGATATATAAGAGGGAACAAGGGAACGTGAGGGGGAGAAAAAGCGAGAACGATACGTGCGTGCGGAGGTGTCGTCGAATGTAAGAAAAGAGCGATTTATAAACGGGCGTTTTGCGAGCGATTTAGTGTTAAATTGTGTAAGTGAGAGCGGATTCTTTTAGAGCGTTTTGGCGTTTAGTTAAACAGTGTTTCGTTGCGAGCGGGTTTAAGCGAGAGTGTTTACGGGAAGAAGCGAAGGGAGTTTCTTTTGACTTTTGCGTGTTCGTTATTGTAAACGTTTTGTAATTTGTTATATTGTTAATTAAAGTGTTCGTTTCTTAATCTTTTGTGTGGTACTGGCTTCTCGGGGAATTCAGATATCCTTTATCGGATACGTATAAGTGTTTTCCCTACAATATCAATATGGCTAATAGATTAAAACAATAGAGGTGTTATGACGTAGATTTCTCAGTTAAGAGTCCTCTGGCAATTAGTTGCTAAAGAAGAGGAAAGAAGGGTTAGAACAAAATTAATTAAATACGTGGTTGAGCCAAACGAAGATGTAATGCTTTATTGGCTCGTCAGGGAAAAGCCTTGCGGCATAAAAACCCTGGATGAATTTTAGATTATAACAATGAGGATCCACCACGTGGCGTTGCCACGCGGGAAAATATCGTTAACGTAAAATAAATATAATGGAAAGTTCTCACCTCTCGTCCGCTTCGTTTATGTTCCCTCTCACCTCTCGTATAGACTTAAACTCCTTCGACTTAACTCCTGCGACTTAATTCTCTCGACTACTTAACTCTTTCGACTTAACTTTCTCGACTACTTAACTCGTGCGGATGCTGCACTGTGAAAAATTATATCGGTATCTTTAATGCGTTCGCGGTCTCTCTCTGACAATACTATATTCAATTGACTCGTGTCTCCTTCTATCAGAATAATCTTCTTTTCGACATCTATTTGCTCTCTCTTCAAAATATCAAAAATCTAAAGATTTAATTATAAACTGTAATTTCGGTGATAACTTTTATTCGCATAATAATTAGTACAGAGCATGTAACTTTACTTACAATATCATTGAAATATTCTTTAAATCGAGTTTGCGGATCCTTCTGTTTCTTTACTCTTATCAGGAAATAAATCGTTGTTACTTCTGGACAACATCTGCAAAAGGCAGCAATGGCATTTATAGTAAAAGTTCTTAGCGGCAAATTAATTCTTATAAAATAAAACATTATTATATAGGTTTACATATAGAAATAAAAAGTGAAATAGAAAAAGAAAGAAATAAAGAATAATTATGTTAATTTTTAAAACAGGTAGTATTAAATAGAAAGTATCCGCTTAATATAATAATTTAAAAGAAATTTTATTTGCTAAAAAAAAAAAAAATTCATATTTTTCTATGACAAAAACTCTACGCTCTTTTTCCTATTTAATAAACTTACATTGGTGTGTTACGAAAGTTAAAATTAATTAATAGACTTTAAACTCGAAAAATATTTTTTCTTATTTATTTCAAACAATATAAATCTATCTCTAGGAGAATAAAACTACTAATAAAAAATTATCCGATTGTACAAACTATCCTAATTAATGTAAAATTTATAATTTAAAACTTATAACGAATGTACAAATCTGATCAGTAATAAAAACATATATGAAACAATTTTACCTCAAAAGTTTTTCCATTATAAGCCTTCCTATAAATCCTAAGCCTCCTGTTATAAAAATTTTCTTTCCAGAATAAATTGTAGCAATGTCACCCCGTTGTTTATAATAATTCGGCTCTTCTACCATCAAAAATAGTTCCTCTTGATACGTTTGGCTTCTTAATGATGCCATTTCTTGAGTTGTTTTATAATAAAAAAAATATTACATACAAATAAAATAAGAAAAATTTCACTTTATAATAATTATCTATAACAGACAATTTTTGAAGATAAGTAAATATTTATTAGTGATTGAAATAGATGATTTTGATACTAATTGCAGTTATAAGATATTTATTTTCGGATTACTGAAAAATTCAATTCTAATTTATATAAAAATAATATGTTATTACTAAGAACATAAATGGAGTAACTATATTTACTGTTAAAAAGTATTTATTTCATGTACTATTATGTATTATTATACATGTATTATTATTATGTATATATTAAATTTTTTCAAAAATGACGCTTAATATAGCAAATAATATTTACAATAACTGAAGTCACTTTACCAATCTTTGGCTCATATAATATCTCGATCAATGAAAACTCTTAATAATTTATCAGTAATCCATATTAATTTTATTCACAAAATAAATTAAACTTATGAATTTAATTAGACTGACACTTGATCTTAAATATGTAATTACACTAATTAAACTCAATTATATAATTTGACAATTTGTGATCTTCACACTTAGAAAAGATTGAAAATGTTAAAAAATAAAGAAATTATCTATTTATAATCCAAAAAATATTTCCACAAAGAATATAATAAAATGTTATTAGTTTTTCGATTTTATACATATAAAAAAAAACCTTTAATAACTTTTCATCTTACGAAGAACTAAGTATATTTGTGGGTTATTAAAAAAAAATAAAACAAACTAAGTATTAAAAACATCCTCTCGATAATAATATCTGTTGAACTTTTTCTAAGTAAAGTAATTCACAAATCCATTTATATATCGACTGTCGAATATCGGTAATCCGCTTCTGCATTTATATATATGTAAAATCCCACTCGTGTACAATGTACACAATTCATATTATCAATTTGTATACGATACAGCAGGAAACAACANGCTGAACGCCCAGCGTGAATTGGTGGAGTTAACTACGGGTCCCAAACTCGAGACTTGTTGTCAACACAGTTCGATAAAGTGAGAGAGCGATATGATTCAATGCGTTCTTTTGATTTTTCCTTGTTCAGATCTTTATTTAGACGAGAGTATTTAGAGAGATAAGTTTGTGGTCTAAAGAATAAAGACAAGATATGTTATAAATAATAAGGGTCTCAATGTGTGGCAGGCTATAGAGTTGAAAAAACATTTCTAGACAATATCTTTATTAGATTTCTCATTGCATTTTACCAGAAACTTTGTTACGTCCAGTAGTATTTTCCATATGTTCTTCGTAACGTCTTAATTCCTAAAATATTTGTTAGACAGCACGAAAGTGTAGATGAAAATATGAATTCGAAAATCATCATAAGCAATAAAATTTTATACCTTAGTTTCACAAAAAAGATATTCTATAATTACGTAGTTTACGAAGCATTATATTTTCCTCGATAAACATCCTACGATTTTGGTGTCTATCTACGACTATCGCATCCAGCATTTCATTTTTATTGCTTGAATTTGGAAAAGTGTACTTTTTATCGGCTATTCCACTCACTAATCATACTGGTGACCTTTATTATATATGGTAATAATATTATAATAAATAAATTCTACAATTATCTCACTCTTGAAACTGTGCATTCGTCTGATTCTCTCGAAACTTAGTTTTTTGAAGGTTTCACTTCTAACACGTGTGATCTGCACACAGGATTTTTTAATTCTTCTTGTTAAAGGTTTTTATGACACAAATTTTTACTGTTGGGAAATGTAAATTGATATAGCACTATTTACTGCGTGAATAAAAAAATAAAAAACGCGTGGCCTATTTACTCCCCACCATATGCCTTCCTAATCTCCCTTCTTAGAAGCAGTGGCAGGAGCACTTTATGTGTAACGTTATGTAGTAGTCCTTTGTCCAAAACTACTYGGACAAAGGCTTATAAGCCTCGCACGAGCCACGTGGTAGGCATTGCGCGTTTTTGTTGTAATTAAATATCGTTTTAGGATACTAAGTCTGCTTATCATTTTATCAACCACCTCTAATCTCAACATTTACACTTATCGATTAAATTACAAAGTGATTTAAATTGATAAAGGATTAAAAAAAAATTGTAAAATTTTTATTTCTATATTATTTGCTATTTTATGATTCTCAATAATTTAAAATCTTAATCTATCGTTATATTAAAAAACTTTAATTTTTTATTAGAAATGTTCGATAGGTATTTCTAAATGATCTATCTTATATAACAGTGTATTGTTATTTACGTCAATTTGAAAGAATTACTTGCGAAAAAAGAAAGGAAGTTAAAGTCACAGGTCATCAGAAGTCTTAGGAGTGATGTGTTTCTTGTGTTAGTTCGATGACAATGTAGCTTAATGCTTACTAAACGCATTTAAATTGCAAAAACGAATTGTGTATATAGGTATTTTAATTAGAAAAATCTGTTTGTCTATATAAAAAGCAGACTACAATAGAAATCTTTATTTTACAAACAAAGTTGTAGTTGATAGCTTCGTTCGTATAGATTCATTAGCAAATATGGAATCTAGTAAAATATTGGGAGATAGTTCAGTGGTCATTTCTGGAATATCAGGTAGATTTCCTAAAAGCGATAATATAAGTGATTTAATAGATAATCTAATKAATGGAAAAGATTGCGTTTCATCATATAAAACGAAATGGTCATTTAGTGAGTATAAATGAATGTAGTAGTTGGTTGCAGAAAGTAATTTTAAATATAAATAAACTTTTTTGATACATCGATTAAATTATTATTTTTAGATGACGCTAAGACTCCAGTGCGTATTGGAACGATGTCACCAATAACAAAGTTTGATAATAGAGCAAGAGCCTGTGAACCCCAGACCTTCGTTATTTTATAAAAGCTGAAAGTTTGTCATCGCATGCTCCYAYTACAGATAAGAACGATTGACCATTATGAAGTTTTGATTACCTTAGCTTTGGCAGTTAAATGGTAGTAAAAGTGTGTAAAATACCGATCTAAATTTATCAAATAATAAAGTGTGATTTTTTGGTCTTACCTTCAAAATAATATTATAAATCACGTTATTTATTGCCAGACATTTAACAACGTGGCAACCCTTTACCAGACACCCTTAATGTTCATGTAATGCCCAAAAGTTTATGTGCATAAGTCATTCTAATCACGAATGTCTTCTTAAGATTTACATGCTAGTCTGGCACGGGGTTGGAACTATCAAAATTGTTTGGCTAATAAGGAAACATCATCTAATTATTACCCAAGTATTGTATATAAAAATCAGCTTTTATACTATWACGTAAGTAGAATTATAATTTTATGAACATTAAGGGTATCTGGTAAAAGATTGCCACGATGGTAAGTATCTGGCACTGAATAACTTAATTTATAATATTATTCTGAAGGTAATACCAAAAAATCACACTTTATTATTTGATGAATTTAAATCGGTATTCTACACAACTGTAGTACCGTTTACCTGCCAAAGCAACGATAACCTTAACCACGATAAACTTCATAATRGTCCATCGTTCTTACCTGTGTTGGGAGCATGCGCTGACAAACWTTCAGCTTTTATAAAATAACGAAAGTCTGGGGCTCACGGGYTCTTAGACTATAACATTTGTTTTGGAATCAATGCAAGACAAGCAGAATTTATTAATCCGGCATCAAGATTGGCAATGGAWGTTGCGTTCGCAGCGATYACTGATGCTGGGATTAATCATGTTGATCTAAAGAAAACGAAAACGAATGTTTACAGAGCATTGACTTTATGCGAATCAGATAAATGTTTCTTCTACGAAAAAGGGCAGGTAAATTAAATATATTAATAAATGTATATAAATATTTTCATATTTTTTTGATTTTATAGCAAGCTGGTTATGCGCTTACTGGAATTTGCCGGGATATGTTATCAAACCGAATATCTTTTTAAATGGATCTAATCGGCTCCAGTTTCACGAGCCTAGAAATGTATATTATATTAAATAATTTTCTCAAAATATTATTAGCGATAAGATTGCCATTTTTACCTTTAAGTATCGTAATAATAAAGATCATTCTGTTGTTTTTTGGTAATTTTAGTAATTTATGGTGAATAAAAATATTCTGGAGCGTTAAAGACTTCTCATCCTTATTTAGTAATATGTTCCAGTACATATTTGCAAGAAACCTTAAATAGACTGCTGAAGGTATGATCACATCATCGTTAATTTAAAAAACTTGTATATATCTGATATATATAAACCCTATCGAGAGAAACGAGCGTTCTCCCATTCGTTGCCTAGTTTGCGTTATAAAAGAGTTAACACGCCTATGAAAAACGAAGAAAAATTATTAAAATTTGTAGCATTCACTTCTAAATAGTTATTTATGTACTAACCAGTSGGAATTATGTTCCCATAAGACTAGAGAAGAAATARATAGRGTTCCTCTAGAAACAGGATAAGGAACTCTCGGATATAACTYTCCTGGCTTGATAGGCCGTTTCTCTTGGATTTGAGATCAGACASATACAAGTTTTTCAAATTAACGATGATATGACCATACCTTCAGCCGTCTATTCAAAGTTTCTTGCGAATATTTACTGGAACTTATTACTAAATAAGGAYGAGAAATTTTTAACGCTCCAGAATATTTTTATTCACCATAAACTACTAAAAGTACCTAAAAACAACAAAATGATATTTATTATTACGATAATTAAAGGTGAAAATGGCCATCTTATCGCATATAATATTTCGAAAAAATTATCTAATATAATATACATTTCTAGGCTCGGGAAAATTTGTAATAAAAACCAAAGATAAAATGATTGCTTCTGGAATTATAAGCTTAACAAAAACAGAAAAGAAAGATATTCCTGAAGTCACTTTACGAGGAAAAGAGATGGAAATTTTACCCGAAAAAGAAATTTACTCGAATCTACTTTTACGTGGTTACCAATATGAGGAATCTTACAATATTATTAGCAGACTTTCTACATCGTATTCCAATGGAAC